CTTGCTTTTGCTTCGCTCTTGCTGCTGCTCTTGCTGATGCTCCCGCTTTTGCTCTTGCTCCTGCTCTTGCTCTTAAGCCTCGAAACCCTCCCCCCTAATTCAGAATAGGTTTTAAGGGGCAGGGATGAGTTCGGGAGGATTCGCCCCAATGTGTTTTATCAGGGGGGTGTTTAGAAAAGGGGGAAGCGATGAGTCTTAAGTAGGGGGTTGGAGCTTAAATGGTTTTTCTGAACACCGTTTTTCCGTCCGCTACCCTGAGATCTTTTGGCAACTGGGCTTGGGCACTAGCCAGATCCTTGCATCACGGCCCTTCATGTTCACTCGACTCTGTGCAGGTGCATTACCTGAGCCTTAATTCAATACATGATGTCCCACCGAACTGTGGACGCTTGGGTGCATGTGTTCATTTCGTTCCTGATACTCTGATACACCCTAAACCCTCAACTGCAGAGTTTGGATCTATATAGACCCCTGATTACAAGAATCCCTCTCCCAAGAATCCCTCTCCCATAATAAGGATTGCAGGAGGGATGATAAGATGAAGGCCCCTAAACCCCTTGCCTACTGGATTAGGGCCCACATCCCTAAACCCTAAACCCTTGCAAAAGGCCGGCTGATGAACCAGGGCTCTACAGTCATGTAGGGGCCTTAATAATTAGAACAAGGTAAAACATTGAAAATGAACCCCAGAAAAACAACATACATACATATTATATATACATATACATACATATATATATATATATATATTGTAGGTAATTGTTGAGGCCCCTATAGTACAGTACTCCATGATCACGGTTCGGGATGGAGCCGTTCGGGATGGGGAGCCTTTGGTCGGGAAGCTTTCGCCGAGGGCTTTTGGCTTAGGGCCTATAGGGTTTAGACTCTCCCAACTCTGGATAATGCCTATAGGGTTTTAGGGCTTAGGGTTCAAGGGTGGGTTTAGGGTTTAGGGCTAAGGGTTGAGGGTTTTGGGCTTCGGGGTTAGGGCTTTTGACACGCAGAGCTTTCGGTGCTTGCGATTAGGATGGCACTGGCCTGGATGAATAGAATGCAGATATGCTGTATAGTTCCAACCGGACCCCAACCCCAAACATTCCTGACCGTATAAACCCTATAAACCCCAAAAGCCTTTTTCCCTAACCCTATGGACCCTATAGGCCCAAAACCCCTGAAGCCCTAATTCCCTCAAGCCTCCGACCTTCACAACCCTAACCTCTAAACCCGTAATTCCTTAAAGCCTCCGGCCTCCATAACCCTAAACCCTAGGCCCTAGACCTCATTCCTTAAAGCCTCCGGCCTTCATGTTCGTCACAGCTAAGCTGCCCGCGAGCTCAAGAACCCGGAAGTCGACTATACGTAGCCTCCAACGGCTTTGAAATGTTCTTTGCTGTAAAGGGTTTCCTTAAGAAAGTCTATACGCTGTTGTAGAATTTGAGGGCTTGATGATATTTACACGGTTCTTAAGTGTTTTGACTGGTTTCTTACTTTGGAGAAGTCTGAAGAGATTTATGCACAAGTTTCCTGAAGAAGCTCGCACTCTTTTGAATTTTGAGTGTCAAGTAAGGCCTTTTCCCACCGACTTGGCAAAATTGGTCGCGCTGCAGGGAACACACATGACCGAACATGAGAAGCAAGTCAAACAAGGCCTGGGGCTTTATGTGTTTAATGTGTCAGAGGCAGCGGCTCTAGGTGCAGGGTCGTAGGTGGTAGGTGTCGGCTTTAGAGGCTGTCAGGTTGGTGTTTTGGAGTCAGAGCTCTCTTCCCTGTCGCATCACAAGATTGCTAGGTTCACGATCCGCGTGGCGCCGAAGCCACCACGATCACGACAACAACAATGCTAGAATCGCAGAGCAGCTGTACCGAAAGCTGAAACCCTGCAAATAATGGGTTGTAGTAGGTGCATGGGCAGCTTTGCCCCCGACATCTTTTCATCACATCTATGAGCACCACTGCCATCGCCATCCTGTAAACTCGTCGTCATCATAGTCGTCGTCATCAGCATCATCTTCGTCAGTGCCACCGTGGATTCACATCCACCGTCAGCATCACCACCATCATCAACAACAAGATCATCAATAGCACCACCACCGTTCAGTATCTCTTCCATCACCAGCATCCTCATGACAGCAGTCGTCGTCACCGTCGTCCGCGGCGTCGCGCAGCGTGATGAGAGATATCATCCCCAGCTTTGTCGGCCAAGCAGCGTGGCCAAGGACCAGGTAATGTTGCTCCTTAGTTCATAAGCCCCTTAGAAACCGAAAAAACAAGATCCGTGCAATAAGCCCCTTTGGGCCGCTTCGAAAAACGAAATTAAACAACATACGCTTAACAACCCCGCTTGGTGCCCTTCTACAAGCGAAACCTGAAAACTGTTCCAAAAAAACGCCCCAAAGCCTAAACTCTGAGCCCTAAACCTTAAATCGCCTGCGGAAATCTGAAAGTCGACACTCCAAACCCATAAACGGCCCCACCAAACGTAGAAATAATCAAACCTTAATTGGACAACATAGTCCGGCGCCTAGAACTGTCTGATCTAAATATCTGTCTTTCCATCTATCCATCAGCATGCGAACTCGCATCATGCACTTCATGTCTTACCGAGGCCCCCTAGCACCCGCAAGAAAAAGCCGTAACATCGCATCGCGGAACATCGCATAGGAAGACAGTTTGGGTGTCTCAGGCAGATCGTTTGAACTAGGCCGGTAGTCGGCCAACCCGAAACACTAAAGCCTAAACTCTAAACACGAAGGGCTGCAGTTGAGTTCTACAGGTGTGCCGTATGTTTGGGGGTTTCTCAAGACAAGTCCAATTACGGGGCTAAGTTTAGGGCATCAGCCAATTGAGCCCCATCCCTTGCACCCATGTCCTAAAACGATGGCTCACAACCCTTGCGTATAACTGAAAAACACTAAACCCCCAACTCGAACTGCTACAAAGAGTTACTATCCCTTGAACCTGCGAGGAAAGTGAACCTTGAAAGCCATGGGATAGGAGGTTGAACATGGGTTATTGCCTGCAATCGGCCAAATCTTTGGGATCTTTCATATCAGTGCTGTAGGCACAGGTTCATCCTACAGTGTGCCATGCCCGAAATTCCTACTGAACTCCCTAAGCAAACCGCTCATAAACCCTGACCCAGGCCACGTTCAATGAATATCAAAGCCCCAATGCCGAAACCCTAGACCCTAAAAGCCTGCAATGCAGGCTTGCCTAAACCCTAAACCCTAAACCCTAAACCCCAAACCCTAAACCTTGCTAAGTGGTAGGGGAAAAAGCCCTAACCCTTTTTTACACAGGCTTGATTGGAGCTCGCCCCTAACCCTAAACCCTGAACCCT